TTTATAAAGAAGGAAAGAATAAAGGATATTAACCCGTCCCCTCGGTTCGGTTCTTCCTTCCTTTATTCTTCTTCTTTATCGCTTTTATATAATCCACACGCGCGCAAAAACCCTACATTGCAATCCTATTCTTACTATCTATTTTTCTACTGCTTTTCGTGACTTTCGTCCCTTCCACTTATCCGCGATCCTTAAAAGATTATATTATAATAGAAGTATAGTTAGGACTATTAGGGTTACGATAGGAATACCCTAAAGCTAGTTAAAAAAACAAAACCTAACCCGAAGGCTAGTAAAAAACCTAAAAAGAAATAACCGTTTCTTTATATATACTATTAACTAATATGCCCCTAAAATGATGTCCTTAAACCCCACTAACTTATCGTCTAGAGGGGTAGGCTGTCGCCTAGCCGCCTCGCTATTATTATCCTTTATATATACCTGGCTTTGCCCCGTGGTAGTAGCCGCTATTACCCCCTCTTACCTACTACCCGCGAATAGTGTCAAAGGTCTATAAAAGGATAGAGGCATCTTCACCTTCTATTATTTCTTTTTCTTCTTCTCTAATCAAGGAGTCGAGGGTATTAAAGCCTTATTCCCTTTACCCTTCTTCGCTAATAAGGCCGGCACTATATCGTTATTATTGGGCACTTTATAAGGATCTAGCGGACCTTAGGGACCTTACGGCACGAAGCCTTAAGGTTACGCAGGGCTAATACTATCACTAAATATATCGTTACCTATAAAGCTAACCCCCGCGGGGGCTAAGGTAGACCCTAAGGTCATAGGTAGCACGCTACCCTCTATATCCTAAGCCTAGACTAGGTTAAAGGTAGCTATCTACTCGAAAGTAGCGGCCGTATATTCCTAGACCACGAGGTCGCGCTAATGTAACGCTAGGCATTATTACTCGATATCGAGCCGCTACTACTTAACGGTAAGGCGTTACTACTATAGCCCGACGAATTACTGAAGGAACGACTCTATCCTATTAAGCATTTTATAGATATCTTCCGCCGTTTTCTAGCGGGCGTCGGTAACTTCCTTAGCGTAACGCCGAGTAGCTATAGCTTCCTTAGCACCCGACCGGTTAACCTCTAGCGTTACTTAGCCTAGAGCCTTTTTAAGGATAACCTAGTATCGAACTACTATAGTCTAGTACTATAAAGGATTAGTAAGGGTACTATATAGAATTAATAAAAGGGTATAGTTACGCGCCGACTCTTATTTAGGCTACCTTTTTTCGATAGCGATAATCAAAACCTTTTATAACTACTCGGTAGTATTCTTACTAGCCATAGGAAGCTACTATATATACTAGACCAACTAGACCACGGAGTAGTCTATAAAGAGAGGGGCTATAGAGATTAAAGATAATAAAGATATATAACTTACTACGCGGCACTTAAGGCTATTATACTTAGAGTAGTAGTGGCACTTATTCGTCCGCCGACTATTATCGGCATAGCAGTATATCACGGCCTTAATAGTGTATATTATAACCGCGCAGATCGGTTATTAGGGTCAGGATAACCAATCAGGTCGGCCGCACGTTTTCGAACTAATCAGATCAGGGGACCGAACCGGTTAATGGGGTTAAAGGGATACACGTGACCGATCCGGATTATATAAGGATCGTTTTATCCGATCTTCCTCTATCTAGATTTTAACCCATTATCCATCATATTTCATATTATCTAGACGATCTAGTTTTATACTATTACGGCCCTACGCTGTTATAATATAGCGATCGGAGGCGGATTCCTTCGGTATTTTAGAAGCTACTAATCTGATTAGGGTAACCAGGGTGCTCGAGAGTAGTTCCGGCCTGCTTAAACGAACTACTATTAACGTACGTGTTAGACTATTATATTTATCGTAATATATATTATTTAGGGGCTATACCAATTAGATGGGTCGTTCTTCTAACCTTCTTCTAACCTTCTTTTAACCTTTTCTAAGACCTTAAACCGATATTATTACCCGTTATTACGTCGCCGGGATATCCTTTTTAATCTAATACTGCTTTAATCACGATACGATATAGATTTGACCGACTAGAGATTAGGTTAGGGCGTTATATGCCTAAAAACTATTACGGATTCAGCCTCCTTTAGCTAGGGCATTATATACCTAAAAACCTCTACGAAGATATATAATACGGATTTAACCCGGGTATAGAAAAGCCGCCTTAGTTAGGGCGTTACGTGCCTAAAAACCGCGATACTGTTTTCGTTATTTGGATTTTATAGCTTCGTTGTCTGCCTTACCCTCTCCGTCTCCCTCCTCTTTTAGTCTCCCTTAAAGGCTTTTCGAGAGTCTTTTTAGTAATAGCTTCGTTAATAGCTTCTACTTTAGCTCGAAGAGAGTACTACGTGTATAGACTACCCTAATTAGGGGAGTAAGCCAGTTCCTATTCCTCCCTCTTCTTCTTTTCCTTCTTTTACTCCCCCTTCTTTTCCGCCGCCCTCTTTTACCTTTTCCCCTTTTACTCCTCCTCCGCCTACGACTTCGACTCCTCCGCCTACGACTTCGACTCCTCCGCCTACTTATACGACTACTAACTTAACTCCTCTATTAACGCCGCTGGTAACTACCGCGAGCCTCGTCTATTAAGATATAGAAAAGAATAGCCCCTCGTATATAGATTAGTCTAATTAGGGTAATATAGGTGCCGAAAAGAGTCCCTTAAGCGTTATTCCTCCCCTATATCCTCTTTTATCTATTACTCCTATTATAATAATAGCCTCGATACTATTTACCGCTACTATTCCCGTGCCCGCTATAGCTCCGACTCCTATTCCGACTCTTATTCTGACTCCTACTCCTATTCTTGTTCTGACTATTCCGACTCTTATTCCGACTCCTAATATACTTCTAACCGAAGTCCTAAAGACTCTAAGGGAGTCCTTACCACCGCTTACCCCTATTACCGTTATTATACAGGAAAGCTAGCGAGCTCCTTTAAAGCCGTTCTCCTAATACGCCCCCCGATTTAATAGTATATACGTCTGCCGGTTCCTCGAGAAGTATACCGACTACGCGACGATATACCGTTTTAAGGAAGAGGAAAAGAAGCTTCGATACCTGCCTTTATTTTCGGATAGTAGTATATGCCCTGTTATAGAATAGCTTATAAAAAAGGTATAGAACGGTTCCTAGGAAGACCTTATTACGAAGCTGAAGTTTAAGTATCGTTACCTGGATCCTAAATACGAATAAGACTTCTCTGCCTAGGTTTAAGCTCTTCAGAATACCCCGAACTCGGTAAAGACGGTGCTATAGGTTCGCGAGCTATTATAGAAGATCACGATCTAGAAAACTAAGGCCGTAAGGGTAGATAGATTCTTTCCCTAGGATTCTAAGCTATATTAGATTCTTTATATTATCCTTAATACGAAGATTCTATTCTACGTAGCGAATTAAATAGATATTCGGCTAAGAGATCTATGAAAGTAATAGAAGTACAAGGTTCTGGCTACTCGCCTTCGAGAATAGTATAAGGATATTTGGGTAATAGGCTACCGTGAAGGCGTGGAACGCCTTAATTAGGGTAATAAAGAGGTTAGTTAATGCGAAGACTATACTATAAAGCCGTAACTACGCCGTTTACTATAAAAGGTATCGCTATAAGAGTTACCGTAATGTCCGCCGTTACCATGAGAGGTAACGCTAGGAGGCACGCCACGAGAAGGTCCGCTGTTATAGGCACAGCGCTAGAGGAAGACGAAGAAGAACTAAGAGAGCCGAAGACCGCCCCACCACAGGTATAAAGATCTAGGAATTCCGCCTAGATACGATATTTAGGGCGTGGAAAAGATTATTAATCTACGGTTCTACCCGAGGGCTATTACTAATACCCTAATAGCACTGTAAGGGTATTTCTTAGTTATTTCCCCTTATTTATTTCCCTTATACATATATATCCTGACTCCTCCTTATTCCTACATTTCCTACCTACCTGCTTTTCCCTTCCTCTGCCTTTTCCTTTTTATTTTTCTACTTCCCTATCTTCGTCTTCGCCTAATCAGAGCAACCTATATATTTTCAGAAGCAGAAGTCCTGCGTGGAGCCGGTAGCCGCGTTTTTAATACCTAATAGGGGCCGCGTTTTATTTTAGTTCTTAATAGGGGCCGTGGTCGTAAGGATTTTAGACTTCTATACTAGGGCCGCGATTCACGCCCGTGGACTTTAGTACTTAGACTATATCTTTATAATCTGCTTTAGTTTACGTTACTCTAATCTACTTTACGTTAGTCTAATTAGAACATAGACTATCCCGCTAAGCACGCTCTATTTCTGTTATTGCTATTTAGAAGCTATACCTCTAAGGCTATAGCCGTGTTTTCTTTTAGTTCCTAATAGGGGCCGCGATTCTATCTTCTATTTTTTTTCTCTACCCCCTCCCCCCCCTCCTATAGTAGTCTGCTTTATATAGTTAGCCTAATTAGAAGAAGTAGTATCTGCCTGCCTGTATATTTTTATTATCTTATATTATTATTTTATTATTTAAAAGCTATACCCGCGCGGACCGCGAGCTTAGCTTTAGTGCCAAGGATAGAGGAGAGAGTATAAGGCACTCTCGATAACAACCCCCCCCCCCCCCCGACTTTTTAGCCTCTCTTTTTTAGCCTCTCTTCTTTTTACTTTTATTAGCCTAATTAGAACGAGTGCTTTCGAATAAGCCTATTTTTAAGCCTTCTAGGCCGTTAGTTATTTAGTTATTTATAGTCTTGATTCTGCAATTACGTCTCTGCCCCTCTCTTTTTCAGCCTTCCTATTTTTATACCGTTTTTACACGCCTTATTCCTATACGCCTCCGTGGCCTACGTTGTTTCCTTATTTCCTACGTCTCTATGCCTCTTCTACTTTCTATTCTTCTATCTTTATTATTCTAATTAAGGGAGTCCTAAGCCGCCTATCCTATTCTTCCTCTTCTTATTCTTCCTTTTCCTATTCTTCCTCTTCCTATTCTTTCCCTTCCTATTCCTTTAGTTCTTCGGGCTATTCTTTCGGTTTCGACGATTTCTTTAAGCCCTGCTCCTGCTATAGTATTAACGACGGTTAGCTTTTTCTGGAAAAGACACTATACTATAAGCACGCGTGGAAAAGATCTAACCTATCTACCCGCTACTACCTTAAGGGGAACCACGCGCCGAAGATACCGTTACCGTGACCGTTACTACTACTACGTCGCACGAAGACCGCCCGCCCGACCTCCTACTAAAGTAATACTATATCCGCCTTCGAGCTAAACTATTATATAAAGGAAGACTACGTTAGACCACGTGGGATTAGTTCCACGGCTTTTACGATCTCGTAGGAGAACTACTACGCGTGGAGGAGACGGCTGGAAAAGCTACTTAGAGGAGCCCTGATTAGGGTAACGAAGATATTATTTAGATTATTATTTATACTAATCTACGAGTTATTTTACAATTATCGTAGCCTTAAGGGCGAGGCGACGATAATTAGGACCGTATTATAACCGCGTAGATCGGTTATTAGGATTAGGATAACTAATTAGGTCGGCCGTATATTTTCTAACTAATTAGGTTAGGGGACTAAACCGGTTAATCGGGTTAAAGGGATATATATAACCGATCCGGATTATATAAGGAACGTTGTATCGGATCTTCCTGTATCTAGATTTTAACCTCTTACCTATTATAATTTATATTATCTAGACGATCCAGTTTTATGCCACTACGGCCCTGCGCTATTATAATATCTTTTCCTTAAAGTTAATCGCTACTAACTTACCCATATAACGTATATAGGGGGCCCTTAGATCCCCGCCTATACCGATATCTATTACCCTCTTGCGTAGAGCGACGAACAGCATAGTAGTCGATAATAACGTAGCCGTAGTAAAAGCAGGAGGCTCTAGTATAATAGGCTACACGATAGCCTCCCCGGACTACGAGGCTAACACCGTAGCCGTGGTCTTAAGCCTTTCAGAGGCTCGTGTTATACTCGCGGGAGAAGCGGCGCGTTTAGTATTATTATCTTCGTAAGAAGGTATAACGACTATACTATATTGTGTGGTTAGCTAGTATTATAGACTAGAACGTATATGAACTACTTATAAGATAGTAGGTTATTTAATTAATTAAAACTATAAGTCGTTAGTACACGATATCGTGGATTAGGCAAAGGACTTAAAGCCGTAGTATAATCCAAAATTGAAGTATAGAAGAGAATAAAAGAATAGAAAAAGGGAGTAATAGTAGGTTACGAGATATCCCCCTAACGGCAGTTATATAGGCATGTATTTGAGTTTAAAGAAGGAAGCTACGAATTCGCGGAAGGAGTAATAACAGGCCCTACACGTAATACTAAGAGGGAGTCTTTATAAGTTAAAAAGGATAACCTAAAAGCGAAGATAAAGGAACGGAATAGAAGACCTATAAAAGGACTAGCCTAGAACCTATTAGAGTCCCGGGTAGGATATTAGCTTTAGTGGTTTTTAGTTAATAAATCGAAGGGACGGGGTATATACCCAGGTTAGAGCTATACCTAAAGAGGCTCTATATAGGAACTAGGCGGGGACTTATTGGGATCTTGTTATAGAGGGCTTTAGTTCGGAGTATCGGGGGATTTAGGAGACGGACTCGGAGGCTGGGTTTTAGAGGAGCTAAGAGGCTAGCACGGATCGGGCGCTCCTAAGGATAGGAGTATCCAGGGGAGGTCGCTATATCAGGTACCTATAGTAGTAATTATAATAAGTCCTAGGTATAAACCTATCGGGGTCTAGCCGCCTTTAGTCTAAGACCCCTTAAGATATAATTAAAGCAGTTATTATATAGTAAATAAAATAGTTACTCGAAGTAAATAAGGCAGCCCTCGAGGAAGTAAATACGCAGTCCTCGAGGAGTTAGAGAACGTAATCTTAAGGAGCGGAGGAGCCTCCCCTTTTAAGAGGGAGGCTAGCGATTAATCTAATTCTTTAGCTATACCTATATTCTGATCCTACTATAATCCTATCGTGATCGCACCTAGTTCCTTGCTTAACGCTACCTTTTCACTCTTTACGACTACCTATTTAACACCAAACAAGCGGATATCTCAGTGCCATTCGTTCGTATAGGTTCCGTGCCGCGGGATCCCTATGCGCGTATAGTGCCTGCTAATCGTGGTCGTATCACGCAGGGTCGAGCGTAGCGGCCTTACCTAGAGAGCAAGCTGCTACGCTCGTAGCTCTTAAATGGTAGTAGGTAAAAGGATATATTATCTCTTAATAAGTAAGACTCTGAATTATCAGATATAACGTAACTACAACTGTCAAAAATAGTGTTAGAATTAAGGGCTTAAAATCATCGATTTTTAGAGACCCAAATATATATCTTCTCCCTCTACAGGACCGTCAGGGAACTGCTACTACCGTTTTATCCATAGCAAAAATTCTGCCGTTTGCCCGGATTACCGAGGCTACAATCCTTCGGTCAAATCCGTGCCCGTTATGTAACCGTAAAAACTACCTATGGTCCGTTCAACACCCATTAATTATCGCACGTCAAATAGCACTTAGATAATTAACTTAGTAGAGTAGAAATCTCGTCTGTGTGTATTATATTAAGTTATATCTGTGTGAGTCTCTTATACCTTTAATTTAGGTGGTGAAGACTCTGTTATAGGTACCATGTCATTTGGATCCTATCTGGTCTTTTCCGGTATCCGCCCCTACTATATCCGAAGCCCTTAGTTATAGCGTGGATCCCCCCTGGATCCCCTATAGACCACGTCGTGGTCCGTGTGCCTATACGATATACCCCCTTAGTTAAGGTGGGTCTTCTCAGGTAAACTGACTAATCAGAGGCTTCGGTTTAAACAAAACGCTCTTAGCTTTTCCATCGTAAAATCAACAGTTAAGGGAAAAACGCCCTCGTGAAAGGGATCTAAATCCGCCCTATTTAACCGTTTAATTCAATTCTATCTTAATTAGGTCATTAATCCTGATTAGCCGGATCTACTTAACCGGATCTATATCTATCGGATCTGCTACGCCCTCGGAGGCCGTTATCGTCGTTACTGCCACGGCTTTAGCTACGGCTTTAGCGCGTTTAATCTCTTCGTGCAGTTATTTTAACTACTCGATAGGATCCTTTTAATCCGTTAGATTAAGCTATTACTATAGTCTTTTAATCCCTGCCTCCGGTAGTACCTTCGTTAAACTGTCCGCGATTATATCCTTCGTGTTAACGTATATAACCTTAAAAAGGCCTTACTATACTAACTAGCGCGCCTACTAGTTATAAATATCAACGTGCCGTAGTCTTATTCGCAGGCGTTATGCCTTCTTATTAATAAGGTTAATAGTCTGCTAATTATCGTAGTATAGCTATAGTTATTATTAATCTAACCGGAGTTCTAAATCCCTTAATATCCGACTAACCCATAGCGTCTCTTTAGCGGCCTCTATAAGAGCGAGTAGTTCCGATTCTATTAATAATATCGTAACTATCGGTTACTTACCCGCCTTTGAGTTAATAGTGCCGCCGAAGAGTTTTATCGCGTATCCTTAGGAGCTCTTACGGTCTGGATTATCCCCGAAGGACGCGTCGCTTATAGTTAGGAAGAGTCTATCCCCACCGAATTCTAGGAAATAGTGCCTTATATAATATAAGAATAGTAGCATTTATTAAGCCCTCTTAAGATAGTTAGAGGAGGGGTTAACGTTATATTAGGAAAGCTTTAAATAGGCGAACGCCATATCGGGTCTTATCACGATAGCGGTACATAGGATAGAACCGATTATACCCTAATACTAATAGACCTCGGGAATTAACGCGCGTATACTATTGCGTGGTATTAGCGGCTCTATAGTTAATAATAGGACCTTTAGTGGTTTTCGGTAAAGGATATCTACGTAGAATTTAACCGCGATCTTCTCTATGTAGGAGGATTATAATAGCTATAACCTACGTATAGCTCTATCTCTTAGAACCTTAATTCCTAGGAACTAAGGAATTTTATCGCCTCCCGATAGTCTATAGCTTCGTTTAAGGGTAGCCTTAAGGTTATCGGTGTTAGTCTTATAATCTCTATAGTAGATAAGTCCGATATCGTTAACGTAGAAGAATAGGATTAAACTATCGCGGATTATAATATAGGGGTTATTAGGCATAGCCGTGAATTCTATCTTTTATAGCTTGCCACTAAATTCCTCCTACTATCATAGTAGTAATACCCTTAAACCTAAGAGGGCTTTCCGTAGTAGTAATACCTTACCTAGTACTTCGTAGCCTTACGGTATCTTTATAAATACCTCTTCTTTAAGGCTAGCGTTAATAAACGCGTTAATAGTATCGGACTGCCTTATCTCTAGATTAAATCGGGCGGCGATCGTTATTAGTATATGGAAGAACCGCGATACTAGCGTGGCGGCGTAGTTATTTTTAGTCTTTAAACGTTTTTATTAATCCCCTCGTACTATAAGGCGTACCTTATACTTATGGAGGGTGCTCTCCTTATTAAATTTATAGGTATATACCTATCTATAGGGGAGGACTTATTACTTATTAGCCTAATTACCGCGGATCTCCTACTAGTAGCCTATCTATTAGAACCCCTTAAGGTATTCGCCCTTAGCCTATGACCACCGCTCCCGTAACGGGTATAGACGTATATCGCGGTGGTGGTTTAGCGGAGGCGGGAGATCCTCGCGGGTTAGATATAATAGGGAGGCGTTAAAGAGAGAGGGATCTATAATACTAACGCCGATAATATCACCGTTATTAATAGCTTACTTCCTCCCGCGTATAGGGTTATAAGTCCTTCTAGCGTTAAAGAACGCCTTCTAGGTATTATTTTTCTATACCTTCTTAGTCGTGTATAGGCTTACGATAGTTCTCGCGATAGATAGGCGCGCGGCCGATAGGTGTACGGCCGACGGGTACCCCTTAGGGGTATCTATAGCTATCCGTTAGTGGTTATCGTGTTCTTCTATTTTAGCGCCCCTAACCACCGCTAGCGCTATAAGGAATGCGCGCGCAGGATTTTCCGGGGATATTACAGGCGTGGGAAACGGTTTAAACCTCGTAGTAGTAAACCGTGAAGTATACGTAGTAATAGCGGTGGCCTCTTCCGTAGTAATAGCGGTAGCGTCTTCCTAGCCCGTAATAATAGCGGTATTATTACTTTTACCTGTAGTAATAGCGGTAGTATAGTCTTCTCCTATAGTAATAATAATATCCGTAGTAATAGCGGTAGCGTTAGAGTTACGAGGTTCTAAATCTATAGCCTAGGTATTAGCCTATAGATTTAGAACCTCGTAACGAGTAGTAATATAGTCTATAGTAATAGTAATAGCCTCTCTTATAGTAATACTAACGGCCTCGCCTTTATCCGTAGTAATAGCAGTGGCGTTAGTCTTCCCACTTAAGATCTAATACGTCTACGGCTATACCCCTTAATAGCAGTCTATTCGCGGTCTTATTAGATTAGATAATATGGATAGATTATAGGCGTTCCCTGATTTCCTCGGCGGAAGCTATAGCTTACAGCGTTTTAATCCTACCGTTAAATATCTTATCTTCGTTAAAGACTATATCTCTTATAGTGATGATATCCGTTAGGTATAGTAGCTAAATACGGAAGCTATTTAAGGATTAATATCTGATATAATAACCAATCCATACCTTCGGTTCTAGCCTTTATAGGCGGTTCCTTTTAGCTTAGGTATAGCGGGTTTTTATAAAGGCTTTATAGCCGTAAGTTTATAGGTGCGTAAGGTCAGGTTAACGGCCGCGCAGGCCTTCGTATAGTATTCGCTAGTTATTAATATATTATAGCGTTCTATTATATAGATATATAGCGGTCTTAAAGATCTTAGGCTAGATAGACGTAGGCAGATTAGCCCTAATCCTTATAGCCCTCGCCCTCCTTTTAACGATACCTTTAATCCGTTCTATAACGCCGTTTTAATCCTATAAATATGGTACTAACGGCTAGTCTTCCACCCCCTTAGCAGCGAGGAAAGCAATAACTTCTAAGTGCTAAAATATCTTAGAATCGGCCCGTAGGATACATGGCTTAACGTCGAATTAGGTCTTAAGCAGGGTAAAAACGTCTCTTAACGTATAAAGAATAGAGCCTTAGTCTTTTTTCTATAGGTAGTAATCCTACGTATAACCTATATACACGTCTATAACGAATATAATAGACTTATATCGGCCGTCTGCTAACGACTCCGCCTCTTTAAGATCGTGAAAGTCAATAGCTAGGGCCTCTCCGGGCTTTAACGGGTAAAACGATAGTATCCGCCGGATCTATATAGGCACTTACGATTACCTATACGCGTTATAGTCGGCGGTACGCGGTCCTTGTATTCTTACCCCCTAAGTAGCGTTAATGATCCTTATAAGGGTATCGGTGCTATAGTGGCCGAGGTGTTTATACTACCGCTATGCTATAGTCTTTTACGGTTGCCGTGGAGATTATAATCTTCTATACGGGTTATCGCGGGGGTGCCTTACCGAGACCGCGAACGCGGTAGCGGCCGTGGCTTCTGCGCGCTCGATTATATACTAGCCGTAGATATCTAGTAGCTTATAGATAGGCCGGCTATTAGCGAAGCTAATAATAGTGTTATTTACGGTATCCTAGCGGTAGCCTTATAGGCGTAGCTAGTATTCCGAGACGATATTATCGATAAATTCCTTATAGTATACGATATCACGAAGGCGTAGTAGCCTCTTTATACCCGATAAGGATTACACACGTAGTTTAATGTCTTCGTATCCGAGGATAGAAGCCTTATGAGTACCCACCTAAAGGGATAAAGATAAAGTATCTGTGGGTAGTCTAACGGCCGTAAAACGGCCTTAATTATTAAAGATATAGATAAACGATCCTAAATCTAGGATCGTGTAGTGTAATAGCGCTCTAGCTTAGTCTATAGAAAGGGATACCCCCTATTCTTATTATAATCTTAATAGTATCGTCGTACGATAGCGCGCTACTCCCTAGGTTAGGTAGGCGCCTAGTCTCCCCGTCGCGGTGACGGATAGGTCATTTAAAGCTATACTTACGGGCGGCGTGGCAACCCCCTAATTTTATTATTACGGTGTAGTAGTCATAATAAGCGTAATATCATAGAGTCAATCTTCCTAGACTTCCTCTATCTTATTAGCGGTAATAGCCCCTAAGGCTTCCCACCTTTTCTATATCGCGGTATCTACGCGGCTTTTAAAACTATAGTTATATATCTTCTTTTCTATAACCTTCGTAATATCTTCGCGGCCACGCTAGGTATATGGGTATATATCCGGCCTTATATACTAATAAGCGGCGGTAGTATAGGGGTTCTTATATATCTTATAAGGCCTCCTTAGTATAGGAGGGATAGCTTTTACGGACGTATTACTACGAGGACGCTTCTTATTATCTTTATTAGCAGTATTCTTAGTATCGGGGAGGTTTCTAAGGGTATTAAAGGTGCCTCCCCTAACTCTAGGCTTTACAGCAGTGGATTATAGACTCTTTATATTATTAAGAACCGCCTGTAAAGCCTTTACGAAGTTATTAATTATTAGCTCGTTTTCCGTAATCTTATCGTAGTTATTTACTAGGTAATTATTACTCTATTCTTAGGCGATAGGTCTAATAGCTTTTAACGGGTCTTTAACTTAATAGTCCGCGCTTAATAGCTCTAAAACGCCTATATATTTATAGTGTATTATCGCTATTTTCTAGCTTATAACCCACCCGTCTATATCCTTAGGTATAGCCTTTATAGGCGTAGTATATCGTCGGTATAGAACTAGGACTTCCTTATAGAGGTCTATAAGAGTTAGTTCTATATACGTGTATAGGAGGGTAATCTAAGCTTATAGGTTATTTATATTATTATCCTATAGTTATACGAGGAGATTATATAATATAGTATAGATAGTGCTTTCGATATATAAGCGTACCTTATTAAACTCCTTCTACTACGTATTATAGTCTGCCTTTTCCTCGCGGTATACGCGGCAAATTTATAAGTAACGCGTACGCCCCTTTTTAGAGAGGTCGTTAATAGACGTAGGCGTCTTTATCGGTGGTTTTTTCGTTATAGCCGTAACCTTCCGGCGAGCGGCCGTCTTCCTCTTACTAGCGGCCATAGCCGCTATAATACCGGCCGTGGTAGCCGTGGCTATAGCGTCCGTAGTATCCGTAGCCTTATCGCCCTTTAATATAATAGTAGAAGACAGAGTAGCCGTGATAGTAGAAGACGGGGTAGCTATAGCCTCCTCCGTGTCGGGGTTTACGGCGAGGGCTTCGTATTTACGGATATTAGGTGGCGTAGGCTTAAGAAGCAGGTAAGTATTAGCCTCCTTATCGCTTAGCTTTAGATTAAGATAGTTTTCTTAGTAGGGGGTATATTTACCGCGCACGGTATACTCCCACGTTACCTAATCCCTTTAGTTAATAAGGGTAATAGCGGCCGCCTTCTATTCAGCATTAGATATATTAGAAGATATCTTTATTAGTTTATCGGTTAGTCAATTAATAAGTAGGTTAATTAATCTCTTAATTACTCTAATTAGGTCGATGATAGTTATTTAAGAGTGCTTACATAGACCTGATTACTTCTTTATAGTAGAATAGGGGTAGTCTTATTAATATCTATTGTTTAGCTATTATAAACCTGTCTTATAACTATCGTATATTGAATAGTATTTAGATAATTAACTTAGTAGAGTAAAAATCTCGTCTATATATATTATATTAAGTTATATCTATACAAGTCTCTTATACCGTTAATTTAGGTGGTGAAGACTCTGTTATGGGTACTATATCATTTGGATCCCATCCGGTCTTTTCCGGTATCCGCCCCTATTATATCCGAAGCCCTTAGTCATGGCGTGGATCCCCCCTGGATCCCCTATGGACCACGTCGTGGTCCGTGTGCCCAGGCGACATCAATTCTTTCCTTGTCACGCTTAGTAGAAGCATTGTCACGTGTTTTCATTCACTACGTGGGGACAGTTCCGGGTGGCGACGTCACTCGGACTGCCCTTATTTGAGTAGTACCTGGACCTAAGTTTGGTTTGGAATGCGCTTAAGCCGACGGGTACCGAAACAGCGGGGATAAGGATCACAAGGGAGATAGGTCTGTGGATGTTGCCCACCTCTCATCTTCTCCTCTGTCAAAACTTTCCAATATAGCCATTTCGTCCCTCATCTCGGCCCATATTGATGTGTTTCGGAGAACGCCTCGGTTGACCCTTGACTACAATGGGGACCACATCGTCCCTTCGAACCCTGGCGTTCCGGAACCGGGTGGCCAGCAGCTTGAGGCATCGGCATTTCTCCACGTCTGCAACTGCCCGTCGTGAGGTCCGGGAAGCTTACATCCTCAGTGCGGCGAGGACTCCAACCGCCAAGGTGAGCATCGACTTCCCGTGGCGCGAAAGGGGGCGAGCTGTCTAGTCTAACGAGCGAATGCTTTCTCGGCCTAGTTCAATGGCTCATACACGAGCTTGAGCGCGACTCAACTGGGTGCAGTGGCAATCAAAGCTGCCGTAGACAGGTCCAAAGTGCCTATTTCCATGATCACGGATGTGTATATGGGCAATGTACTGCAGGGCGCTGTCGGACAGTCACCGGCCAGGCAAGCCGCTATCTTCGCCGGCCTCTCGTCTAGCATCGAGGCCACTACCATCAACAAGGTCTGCGCATCCGGTCTCAAGGCCGTAGTCTTAGCAGCACAAAACATCGAGCTGGGCCTGTCGGAGGCTCAGGTGGCTGGCGGTATGGAGAACATGACCCGAGTCCCCTACTACGTACCTCGGGCCTCCAATCTCCCCGCTTTTGGTCACGTCAAGATGCAGGATGGATTGATCCTGGATGGCCTGACCGATGTCTATGGCCAGATTCACATGGGCAACTGCGCCGAGAACACCGCAAAGAAATACGGAATTACCAGAGAGATGCAGGACCAGTATGCCATCCAGTCGTACGAGCGTGCACAGGCTGCATGGAAAGCCCATACCTTCGCGGACGAGATTGCTCCGGTAGTTGTACCTGGGAAGAAGGGGGAGACTGTCGTCGAGGTCGACGAGGGATACCTTGATATCAAGCTGGACAGAGTGCCGTCGCTCAAGCCAGCCTTCGTCAGGGACGGTACCGGTACCGTTACTGCTGCGAATGCGTCAACGTTGAACGATGGCGCTAGCGCGCTTGTCCTAGGAAGCAAAGACGTTGCCCGCCAGTACGGTGCTAGCTCCCGGGTCCTAGCGAGAATATGTGGCTCAGCGGACGCAGCTGTTGACCCCATTGACTTTCCCGTCGCGCCTGCCGCGGCCGTTCCTATTGCGCTTGAAAGAGCCGGTATTACCAAAGACCAAGTCGCCGTATGGGAGTTCAATGAGGCGTTCGCTGTCGTAGTCAAAGCCAACGAAAAGGTCAGTTCCACTCAACCCGCTCAACAGCATCTCTTGCCTAGTTAGACTAACTTCCCGCAGATTCTTTGCTTGGAAGGGGCAAAGGTAAACCCACTGGGCGGTGCAATCTCTTTGGGACATGCTCTAGGCAGCTCAGGATCGAGGATTCTTACAACGCTGCTTCACCAGCTGAAAGATGGCGAGTACGGTGTAGCAGCCATTTGCAATGGCGGGGGCGCGGCGACGGCTGTTGTAGTGCAGCGTGTTTCTTCCGTGTAAAGACGGCATTCCATCCACCCCTTAGCCTGGCTTGCTGCATGGTATAAATACAAAGCGGAGGGACGTAGTGGTTTGGGCCTTGGTCGGTTTATAACATGGCGTTGGAAATGCCTTGGAGATCTTCGCAACAATCGTCCACGGTCGTAGCCATCTTCTGCAGAAGTGTATATTTAGGCGCTTTCGCTACTTAACTTCACTGAGAAAATTTGGATAGCCACCAAATGTTCTGTCGGAAGAGTGTCAGGACTTCGTGGCTGGCTTGGTGAGGCAGGTCCTCGTGTGGACCAGCTGTCGACTCACTCGGGCCTCTAAGCTAACAACCCGGTGATGCCCACATTGGACCATTGCACTTGAATTGAAAGTTGGCAGGATCTGAAAAGCAAAATATCTATTCATTCACTGTTTTCTAGCTCTGAAAAGGCATGGAATTTGTTCCTTAGAGAGCACCCAGTTCTTTAAGTTTTGAGATCAGCCCATCAACGTCGTCGACCTTTCCTCCGCCCTGTCTTGATGGCGGCTCTGCGAATTCATTCTGGTTAGTTTCACTGATAAAGCCTTCATCTTCGCCCCTGTTTTATTTCCCTAATCATCCCGAGAGAAGTGAAAGAGACGAGTGGCAAGGGAGGAGGTATGAGCGGAAGAAAAGGGGAAGGAAGAGAGACAAGGAGAGAAAGGAATGGGACAGCATACCCGTAACCTTCAACACCTTTAATCGCTGTTCATTGGTGATACCATAATCCGCAAGCTTTTTCTTCTCCAACGGCTTCTTCTTTGCTTTCATGATATTCGGCAAGCTCGCATATCTAGGCTCGTTCAACCTCAGGTCTGTCGTAATGACCATGGGCAGTTTTGCTCGGAGAGTCTCCACACCACCGTCAACCTCCCGAGTGACACTAACAGTGTCACCTTCGCCAAAGTCCACCTTGCTTGCTTGTGTGGCCTGCGACCAACCGAGCAGTCCAGCCAGCATCTGACCCGTCTGACCAGCGTCGGCGTCAATACTCTGCTTGCCCAGGATCACCAGGTTGCTCTTGTGCTCCTCAACGGCCTTGCGCAGCAGCTTGGCTACTGAAAGCGGCTCAAGGTCCTCGCCTTCCTTGACTTCAACATGTATACCACGGTCCGCTCCCATGGCCATGGCCGTCCGTAGCACATCAACCGCTTTAGGTGGTCCTGCCGAGATAACGGTAATGTCTTCCACACCGCCCGGCGCTCGCTTCTTCTCTCGGATACGGACTGATTCCTCGACGGAAAGCTCGTCAAAAGGGTTCATCGAGTGCTTGACACCCGCTGTCTCAACAGCTGTCTGAGCTTTGTTGACCCGCGGTTTGACCTATCAAGACACAAATGCATACATGAGTTAATGCTTGACTGCAGAGAACGAAGGCCCCGAGGAATAGGTCGTCCCATCTGGAATTTGCCGCTCACCGCATAGTCAATCACCCGCTTGACGGGGACGAGAATCCTCAATGCAGACATGGCTTTATGCTCAAAAAAAAAGGGCAACAAATGAGTTAGGCGGTAAGCGAAGATTAAGCAGGACCGGAAGGAGATCAGTGCCTGGTAGCCATTCTATGTTCAAGTCGCGACATAAGGAATTGGACAAGGTCGGTTAGAGCCGGTGCTTAACCTCGGCTTGGTATACACGTGACTTGACCCAGATGTGAAAACAAGATCAACCTAGCATAAATTACGTAAGGAATTATATTAATTAAAGAGCTTAGGTAGATATCTAGTCTAGGCGATACGGGCTAGGGTACTTGAGCAGAACGGTTTCCCTATATAAACACCGTTCGTTTGATATACCTACGTCCGAAGAGTCCACCGTTTTGATACCGATAATTTCCCGCAGGACTAGTTATCAGACCACGGCTATATAGGGCCGATATAGTTACGGGTTATGCGTTTATACTCCCCTTTAAATTATCGGGTATTTAGGTAGTAGAGGAGCGACGATTTAACTAATCGTTAACTAATAACTTACAGTATCTATTCTATCTTACGGAGGGCCTTAAAGTGGTTAAACGGCCCTGGTTATAGGGGCTTTATAAAGCCGTTAGCGGGGTTATCAGTGCTCTTAATATACTCGATCCTAACCTCCTTATAGTTAACGGCGTCGAATACGTGTAAATAGTCTAGTAGCGTAAACTTACTACGATTAGAGTATTCTGACTTCGTGGTAGCGCCGGTATTATCGACTTTAATAGTGATAGGGGCGAGGTCCTCGCTAAGCTCTTATAGGAGGTAGCGTGTCTATTAGGTAGTTTAGACGGCGTTACTAAGGGCGTAAAACTCGGCTTTAGGTATAGATTTTATAACGCGAGCCTAGCGTTTAGAAGACTAGATAACTAGGGCTCTAGCTATAAAGAAGACCTATTTAGTGGTTAATTTTATACCTTTAGCGTTAGTAAAGCTTAAGTCTAAAGCTTTATAGAGTCCTAGGCGGTTACCCGTAATAGGTTAGTAGTCTCTATAACGGAAGGTAAGCCCGTTAGATAGCCGGCCGCGAAGGTATCGCAGGATCCTTTTAACGCCTATAAGGTGGTTATTAAGGGGCGCGTGGCTAAAGCGTTCTTAAAAGGAGGCAGCGTAGATAATATCGGGTCTTATTAGGCACGCTAGGTATAATAGTTTCCCTATAATTTTACGGTACAGGGTATATTCCTTTTCGTTTAGCGGTACGGTAGTGATATTATTAGTTCCGGGTTTAGGGGTCGTGTTAGTTCCGCTACCTATAGCGGTAGCGTTAATTCCTCTGCCTACGGCGGTAGCGAGGTGGTTTAGATCTATTAATATAGTTGCCGATCTTATAATAGTGTAGTTAAGTTCCTCGAGGGCCTCCGCGACGTAGGTGTTTTATATAATTACGGTTATTTTACGGGTGGTATCCTATTAAATACGGACTCTAAGGAAGTAGTCGGTAAGGCCTAGGTTGATATTATTAAGGCGTTTAGCTAGTTAGTTAAATAGGTGGGGGGTTATTATAGGAGGGCCGGTAACGAGGAAGTCGTTAATATGCGTGGAGACGATAACGCTGACGGTGGCGTTACGATAAATCGCAGGATTAGAAATCAGTGGTTTATAGCCGAGGGTATCTAGCTCCTTACGAAGCCGTTATTACTACTAGTAGCCTCCTTACTTTAGGCCGTAGAAGGCTTTACAGAGGCGTATAAGGAGGTTAGGATACTAGCTAAGGTAAGTTACGAGGTGTTAATAACGGGGGTCCTTAAAGAAGTCCGATAGTATACCGAACTGCCTTATATAGACCTATTCCTCGAGGTCGCCGTGAAAATAGGCGCCGACGACGTTAAGCTAACGGATAGGCTATCCGTTAATTATTACGAGGGCGATAATAATATGCTACGAGGCTGCTTTAACGGTAGAGGCGTAGGTGTTATGGTAGTTGATCCTGTATTATTATTAGAAGCCTCTAGCGACGACTCTGGCCTTACGTTTTTCGAGGAGGCCGTTCTTCTTCTTATATGTTAGCACGATCTTTACGGTTAACCTATAATTACGTTATTACTTTAGGAGGGGTTTAAAAGAGAGGGCACCGTAACCGATAAGACTAAGTATCTCGTCGTAAATAGCCTCCTTCTACGAGGGCCAGTTAGGCAAGCGGCGTGCCTCTACTACGCTCTTAGGATCCGGTATAGTATATTAGTTACCCTTATTATCGGTAGGCGAGGATCCGGCGTTATTATTACTATTATATAGACGTTAGATTTCCGCAGGGTCTACGCCGGGTAGTAGTTCCTTAACTGTAAAGGTGGCTCCGAGGGATACTTCGTATTCCTCTAGGTCAACCGTTAGTTCTATAGCGTGCTACGGGGGAGGTGTAAGGCGTTATAGATCTTCGTAACCTATAATTAGAGGATCGTTATAGGCGTTAGTGGTATACGTTACGGTGCCTTCGGTGCCGTAAACCACCTCGTAAACTATAGTAAAGGAGGGTCTAGGAGGGGTTACGGTCGGCGGTTAGTTTAGTCCGGGCGTGCCTATTAGAGGGCGAGGGTTATTATAATAGTTCCCTGGTAGTTGGCTGCGTACCGCCTTAGGTTGTATCTACGAGGGGATACCGCTATTATAATAGTCCTCGTGGAAGACTACCTAGCTAGAGATAACCAGCCTGCCCTTTAGCTCCTCCCCGGCGCCTACGGGTATCTAAACGCGGTATAGGTGCTCCCCTTTAAATCCAATAAGGATACTCTCTTCCGCGCGGGCGTTAAGCTTATAAGACTTTACCCTAATCTCCGGGGAGATATAGATAAAAACTCTATAACCGAGGATTCTTACGTAGTGGATAGGTGGTTTATTATCGTAGCCAGGAGCCAGGTCGTCGTAATAGGCTTGGTGAAGGGTCTTCTTATGGACTACGGAGGTGGCCGTGATATGACTAAGGTATACAGAGCCACGGAGGATCTTAGGCTATGGAAAACGGGGGATATCGGCACTAACTACTATTTTCCGACCCTTATTAAGGATAGCACGGATAGACCTTTCCGTAACGCTGTTTTATTCGTGGCTATAAGGAGGGCTGCTTAAAAAAGAGGTGCCCTAGGCTTAGGAGTTATGGCGAAGACCGTTACTAAGGAACTCCCCCGCGTTATCGGTATATACGTGCCTTATAGGTTATCCCTAGCGGTTGCTATACGAGGTTAGGGCGTTAAGTAGGAGCCTCCCTAGGTTAGCCTTAGTCTTCGAGGTTAGGATACCCTTTTTACAGGAGGCATTGTCTATTATCGATAGGCCGTATTTATCTCTAGAGGGTCCGATAGGCTTTAACTCGAAGATATTAACGTACTATAGCTCCCCTACACGGGTAGCGCGAGGTCAAGGGTCCTTAGGGCTATACCGGAGGCTCTAGGAGAGGTTATCAACTGTATAGGGCTGGCCGCAGATTCTTCCAGTTTCTAGGGTGTTTTTAGTAGTTTTGACGGTATTGCGGAGGTCCCTGTAGTTACCGTGGCCGAGGCATTAGTGCTAAAGACGTGCCTATAGTGCCTATAAGGTTACTACTCTAGTTTACGGATAGTCGAGTCGTTAGTCGGCAGGTTACTCTCCTAGTTAGGGCTTATTAGGCTATGCCTCGCTCGGCGGTGCCCTAACTAGTGGTGTTATAGAGGGTAGCAGCCTCGCGGCTATAATAGAATTAGGTGCGATATAGAAAACGGCTATGGGATCGCTAGGGTAGCTAAGGAAGAAGCCGCGGGTGGCCACGTTAATAGTAGCGATACCCTCGCCTGCCTTATTATACAGGACGTTACGGTCTAAATAACCTTCCCCTGCGTATATTATCTCCCCTGATATTATATTAATATAGAGGCCGGGGATACGAACCGTTCTTTGTAGGATAACGACCTTCTCTTTACTGTTAGGGCCTTATAGGTATGTCTTAGCCACCCCGATATAGGTAGGCTTAATAGTGCCGTTCGCGGTGATAATCTAGAACTGGTTTTATTCGGGGATTTCTCTATAGTTAATATAGGATTTAAAATCGCCTATAGAATATAGTAAGGCACCGGAATTCTATAGCCAGCGGTTATAAATATACTTCCTATTACCTTAGAAGACGTGTTCTATAAGGGTTATAGGTGCCCTGGGTGTTATTAGGGGTTTACCGTTAGTAGCGGTCGCGGCGCCGCCGATCTAGGGTTGTTTTATAGCGATATCGGTGCCGCTATAGGCACGTTAAGGAGTAGGGACCTTATTATAAGGTTTACTATCTATCGCCCCCTGCCCGTCGATTATATTATTATAAGTATCAGTGGTAAGGGCGGGGGGCTTAGGGACGGGGGTTTCCCTAGGGTAAACCGTTAGATCTTCCATATCTATAAAGGGAGTGCCTTAGAGGTAGTCTTAATACTGACCTTTAAGTTATACTAGCGCTTATAGGCAGGCGCGGCTAGTGAAAACGCCGTTATTATTACCTAGATAGTCCTCCAGGCTATTAAGGGCGTTAACTTCTCCTTTATTAGTATTAACGTTATGGGTATTATTATTACTACGGTTATTACCGCTATTATTACCTCCGCCATTATTATTATTACGGCCGTAGCCTCCGCGGCCACGACCTCTTCCTCCTCGGTTATTATTATTATGCCTAGGGCCACTAGGCGAGCCGTAATCCTCTATTTTATGCGTCGCGGGCCTAGAGTAATTCGGGGTTATATAGGGCTCGCGATATAGTCGGTTATTTTAGATAGCGTTAGACTATTTATTGGATTATTCCTTAGTTCCGCCGCCTTATTAGTCGTTATTCCCTTAGCGAGAGCCGTGGCGGTTATTATTATTATTACGGCTTTATTTTAGTATCTTTTATTCTTATTCCAAAAGCTTATCGGTTATAATAGCGATATCGTGGGCCTTCTTCGTATCCTTTTTCCTGTAAAAACGCCAGTTATCTTTATAGGACCGGTAGGTTCCGGGCAGACTATTAACGATATTAGCGGCTATTAGTTTATTAGGGTAATAGCCTCCTACTAATAGGATAATATCGCGGAGGTCTACGTGCTTAGAAAGATACTAACCCATAGACTTAAAGGACTATAGCTTTAGCTTAGAGGCCTGTTTACTAGTGGAG